CAATTTTAAGATAAGTATTTTAGATGAGTAAAAACACTGTCTGCAAGAAACCAGAAGGCAGAAGAAGTTAATAACATAAATGTTTTGTGTTATAGCATTCTGCAACTATGAATTGCAGGTAATTGTTACCCAAACTTGCAGCTCTGACCATACAAGTTTAATCTAGGTTGTGGTTCAGAAGTGTAAAGCTGAAGATTTACCATCAGGGTGGATAAAAGAGACCAGAATAAAACGGAGTTCAAAGCGAATTAGAAAAGATCCGGTATGAGTTTTCGTATATAATATTTATGTTTGACCTAGTTCATCTGAGCTCCTTCCCCCACCTTGCCCGTTCCCTTTTCTCACCAATACACGTGGATGTTCTGCATCACAAAGCCTATGTCTTTCTTTGATCATTTTTTAATCAATTACAATACGTTAATTGAGAATTGTACTTATATAATGAGTTTTCAGTTTTACAAGGATCCGGTTAGTGGATATGTATTTCGCTCCAAAAGGGATGCACTGCGCTATATAGAAACTGGAGAGATTAGTAGAAGTGCAATTAGACCAAAGGAATCAGGCAGCAATGCTCCAGAGTTGGTGAAGGATGAAATAGCAGTAAGTTGAACCTTTCTTGGTTTGTGAGTGATGTGTCATTTTCATTGTTGAAATTATCTTCTGCAGCCATTTTAATGTTAATATATTTGATGTTATGTGCTATATTTTGCTGTATTAGTTGAACAATATATTATATGTTTCGGGGCGTATTACACACCAAGAGGGACTGCTTAGTTATGTGATATAGTACCTTCTTTTTTTTTATTTTTTTTATTTTTAGGGATTATGCTGTAATATACTCGATCTAAGGTTTGTAGCCTGGCGTATTAAAGTGTAACTAAGTCATGCAATCAAATTTTCATGATTTTGAAAAACCTTCTAACCAAGGAATAGGACTGAGATAAATTAACTTATGACTTGGGGAAATATGCAAAATGATTTTGATATATTACTAAGGCAACAATGTGATTAAAAGTTTATAGGCAGCCATTACATTAAGGATACTTCTTGAAAGGCTATAAGGGTTTGAAAAACAAAACTTGTTCTACGTGCATGAAAGTAATTCTACTACTACTAAATTTGATTTGTGACATTTGTCTTCCTGAGATTGTGTGAGCAACTTGCTTTTAATAAACAGAATAGATGACATGCTTAACCTAGTCAATCAATAAAGGTTAATTCCTCGTAAACCTCTTTAATTACATTTACCTTGTTCTCACTCATAATAATCCCATTTATTGATGGAATCTCGTCTGATTATTCTCATTCCGACTATTCATTTTGCAGTTTTGTTTCTAAATTTAATTTTTCCGTTGTCTTAAAAAAAAGAAAGAAGGAAAAAAAAAAACAAGTTAGTCATTAAATTCCTTCATGAAGGAAAATTATGAACCTGCCGAATAAAGACATATTTCTTATACAGTGCAGCATCAAGGTGGCAGAATCTTCTGTATGAATTTATTTCTATGTTTATTTGATCATAATCCATTAAACTTGTATAATTGTGTTTAATGTAAAATTGAATGTTGAATCTCATTTTCTTCATTACTTTATGTCTGTTTAGCCATCATCTGCAGCAAAAAGGCAGAAATTACAGCACCCAGCAAGCAAGCGACAGCTTTTTACAGGTGAGATCAATGGATGATTTCATGATACATTATTTTCAAAATTAGGGTTGAGCTAAAAAACCATTTAATTACAAAGACTGCTCAAACCGCACCACACCGTGCAATGTGGGTGTTATTTATTATTTATTTATTTAGTTATTTTTATGTATTTATAGTTTGGTTAGGGGTCTTAGTAAGTATGGTGGGTTTGAACAATTTCAAAACGGTAATTTCTTGCGACTATTTTTGCCATTATCTTGTATGATTTTTTTTTCCCTCTTATAAGATAAAAACTAGACAGAGATCTTATATGGAAAAAATTCATGCACTTATATGCAGAAACTTGTCAACATTTTTATGATTGTATTTTATTGTCAAAATGATGAGTATTTTTTTTTTTATTATATACTAAAAGTAAATTATTCAAACAAATGTGCTAAGTTATTTGCTTGGTCAAAAATTGTCAAGGCTTAAGGTGTAAACCACACAACTCACACTGCACCGCAACACATAATATTGGTATGGTTTGGTGTGTTTACGTATTTAATTTTTGTTGACTGTGGTTAACAGAATTACTTCACCACACTTTATGATTTGGTGAAAATTTTTGGGGAATAACTGCCCCAACCACAACGTGGTCACCCCTATTCAAAATAAAGATTGACCAATGATATTGAAGGGTAGCCAAAATTGATAAGATGTTATTTTGAATCCTTCTTCCTGTCTTGGAAATTGCCGCTGCAGGTAAGACAGAATCTCAACTGAGCGATTCAGAACTGTCAAAAACCGACTCAAAAATATTGAGTGCCAAGAGGGTGTCCCCTGAAGCCAGGGTCATTTATGCCTCCGGAGATGAGACAGTCCAAGGGAAGCATCCATTGAATAATGTAATTCAAGAGTGTGTTGAACCCGAGGAAAAGTGCAGTCCAAACAATTCTACCTCTCAAAAACGTGAAGGCTCCAAGAGAGGTAGAGACCAAAGTTTACCACTTTCTGATGCTGGACTATCTGAGAAAAGTAGAGAAAAAAAAGATTTAGCTGAAAATGGTACTGTCTCAACTCCTATACACGACGACGAGAACTTTCTCGAGACTGCAACAGAAAAGAGCAGCAATGGGGACACACGGGTTTCTAGAAATTCCAAGGTCAATAAAGTTCTGGATGGTCCTGAGAAAAGTAGAGGAGAAAAAGATTTAGCCAAAATTGATCCTGTCTCGACTGCTACACTCAACACCCTGCATGATAAGAATTTTCTCGAGACTGCAACGGAAAAGAGCAGTACTGGGGACAATCGGGTTAATTCTAGAAAATCCAAGGACAAGAAAGTTCATGACATGCCTCCTCGATCTTCAAAAAGGCTTGCTGGGAACAAACCTGATCTCACGGTGAACTTGGAACTGGGTGAACGGGCTCTCATAGCTGCAATTAGAAAATCCAGAAAGACTGAAGCCACTCAAAATTCAGTTTTGACTTCAGATGGTTTGGTGGACAGCCCATTCGTGCAGCGTGAAATCACATCAGAAATAGAGCTTGTGGATAATAATGCTTCTACTAACACAAAGAATCCATTGGAAGAAGATCCATCAAATAAGAGCACTGTACCGCCTGATGACCAAGTGGCTCAAGAGGAACTACATCAGAAGCTGGAAACTGAAAAAGTGGATGACAATCCAGCACCACAACTCAGCTTTCTGTTTGGCTCAGACCCATGCCTGGAATTTGCATTCAAGACTCTCATAGGTGAATTACCACTGGATGGTACTTCCGTCAATGGACCTATTTTAACTCGTGAAGCTGGTACATTGCAACATGAGAACTTGCTTGAGAGTGGAATGAAAAATAGCAGCACTGGAAAAAGTCAATTTAGCAAAACTAAATCAAAGAACAAGAAAGAGCTCAACTTGCCTCGTCGGTCGTCAAAGCGACTTGCTGGGGTTGAACCTGAGCTGGTGGCAAGCTCTGTGGCTAGTGAACGAGCTCTTCAAGATGTAAGTATAAATCCTAATGATAAAGGCACAATTTCAGGTACAAATTTGCTGGATAAAGCAAAGCAGCCACTTAGGGCTGGGCCAAAAATAGAGCTCACCAACCGGTCATCTACTAAAACAGACGCTTCAGTTCCAGAGCCATCGGATAAGAGGAAGAATTCTTTGGAGGATCTTGTGGCAGCACCTCAGGAGCAACCACGAATGCATGAAACTGAAAGGGCAGAACTTAAGAAGCCAGAATCAACTCAACGAATGTATGAAACTGAAAATTCAGGTCCACAACTTCATGAATCTAGAAAGGAAGAACTTGGGTCGCCAGAACCAGACACGCCCTTCTCAATTGCGGATTATTGGTCCGACCCTTGCCTAGATTTTGCATTCAAGACCCTTACAGGTGTAATACCGATAGAGGATACTCTTGCACAGGGTTGCTTTCAGGAACAAGTTGATGTACCTGACAACTGCAAGAATGGAAATGGGGCCCTGCCAGATTTTGGCTCATCTAGCTTGTTTGAAACCGACATATCATCCCAGTTTGATACACTAGAAAAGTCTTCCTCAAGCCAGCAGTTCGCGGGAACTTCTGCATCCCTACCTCCCCAAAACTTGAGTTTCTCAAGTTGCAATGGGATTCATTCCCAACAACAGCCGCCTTTGGAAGCCAATAAGGACTTGCACCAAAAGGTAAAGTCGTAATAGAAAAGGGGTTAATTTTTTTTTCTTTTTTTTTTTTTTTTGGGGGAAATAGGTTACTTTTGGAAAAACAACTTTTGTGCCTTTTGTGATATAGTCATGAACGCCAACTCACTGTAAGACTTGCCGTTGTAGAACTTTTTCTACCTTGATGCTCTGTGTTGATTGTTGCTGTAGTCCAAGAAAACATAAAAACTCCCAAAAATAGTCTCGCAGATTGTTAAACTTCTCATATTCTGTGGTATCTTATTGAGAATTGAATTAGTCTTATGTTGATTATTATTCAATTGAATATTTCAAGTGCGCTTTGGTGAATTGTTAAAAGGTCTCTTCAATGTCTTAAAATGCTTTGAGAATTTCAAGTGCGCTTTGGTGAATTGTTAAAAGGTCTCTTCAATGTCTTAAAATGCTTTGGTCTCATCAATCTTGGTTAGATTTCTTAGAAATTCTATGTTATAATTTTGCCTTTGTTTTTTTCCTACTTTGGGCTGTTACAACTTTTCTGCTAGTTGAAACGATTTTCACCGTTAGGTGCAAATAGGATTTCCAACAACCATTCAATACAACACATTGAAATGCATAAAACGACACTGAATATATTGTTTTAGAACATATCCATCTAAACCATATCAAAGAAAATGAACTAATGAAGGACATAACATCCAAACCAAATCGAAGAAAATGAACCAATGAAGGCAAACATCCAAACCGAAGAAAATCAACATTTTCATTTGAACAATTTTCCATGTAAACATATCATGAGGTCTTGTCAACCAAAGATCACATTTATTTCCACTGCAAGAACTCGGTACATATCACAACATGATGGCTGATCAAAACCATCCATTCAATACGCAGAAGAAGACTCCTTCCATCCGCCGAAGCGCTCCTCTTCAACGCCGTAGCCAATGTCAGAGCTTACCTAAGATACCGTGCAAATAGATGCTTTCAGGAACACAATCTTACCCAAAACACACTCCCATCTCATGAAAAACATTGGACTAGTAAAGTAACCAAGGATGAAAAGTTACCTCAGGCTTAAAAGTGAGGCCAATTCTAATCTCTCCACGATATTCTTGGTCCTTGACCACGTTATATGTTGTTGTTGGGATGCTTCCTTCCAGGAGTAGAGGCTCTAGGGAGATTCTGCAGGCATTGACAACACCAAAAGTAGACTTTAAATCAAGTTGGTTTTAAATTTGAAGTTGCCAAGAAACTCGGAAAATGCTACAAACTAGCTAATAAGAAAAGTAGAACTCGAAACTTTCTACGGTAAGTTATAATTAGTGCATGATTCTGAACGCCAGATATTATAAAAATCACATCAAATGTATGTAGAACTCATAAAATCTGATATAAATACAACAATTCGAGGGGTGTTTTTCAATACCCTACGGTAAGAATCTCAAACTTCTAAGGAGCTCGGTAATGAGAGCATGTACTTACGTTATTTCTCCCACAAAGTCATCCTGCGAAATATCACTGTCCATTATTCTCAATCCGAGTTCTGAAACTCCTTCAGAAACGTTAAATACAAAGGTCTCATTCCACTCCGGATCTGACCCTTTTCCTGGATAGAAAATTTGTATAAAACTTGCTTAGAATATAAAGGCAATACTAATCAGTGTTAATATCAATGGATGTGTATATTATTACTAGGAACTATATTTACCAAGGCCCTAATTACTTGAACGAAATTGTACTAATTACCTGATGCAATACTGCTTTTCTGCTCCTGAGTGCGGTAAGTAAGTATGACATAAGGATCCATATTATCTGTACAAATTTTAGCACATGTCAATATATATCAAGAACCCAAAATCAGATTCATTTTCTCTTTATCTATGATTTAATGATCTCTCTGAAAAAAGGGCTTAGCTTTTCATACTAAGCTAGATTACAATTCTGTTTTCTTAAGACGCATTTCCTGATGCTTGTCACTAAGATCATATATAATATAATCATGGAAAAATAACAATATGGTTTCGTATAGCCATTAAAATAATCGTCATATTAATTAACACGCCATTATCACGTAAACTAGATCAAGCTCTTTTTCACTCGGATTTATTTGAACAAAACAAAGTAACAATCTCTTCTCAGCCAAAAAAAAAAAAAAAAAAACACCAGATCTTGAAAACATAAAAGATCAGGAAAAAAAAGGACCCAAAAAATACAAGATCGAGAACATAATCAGAATAATGAATTTAAGACAGAATGTGACAAGAAACTTACTAAGAAAATCAGTGTTCTCAAGACCCTTAGCACTAACAAGAAGAACTTCAAGCGTTCCTTGAAGCATCTTTTTTTTTTTTTTGGCTGAAAAAAACAAGAGAGAATATTCAAAGACCACAATTGAGATTCCAAACGGCAGAACAGGAAATCGGGTCCTCTTTCTTCTTTTTTATTGGATCAACAATATTCTTTGGCAAATTTTTAACTGTGCAAGGAAAACAAGATGTCGGAGAATTTGATTTTATTGCTCATATCATTGTACGCTGTTACGTTTACGCGTGAATTACCTAACCGATCCGAACAATTAAAAAAAAAATGTAGCAAAACCTGTCCAGTTATGACATCCGGATTTTACGCGGGTTTTTCCTTTTTCTTTTTTTCTAATCGAAAGTCAATATGAATTTGGTGCACATGAAATGCACTTTTTTTTTCTTCTTTTTTTTTTTGCTTAAGAAAAAATTCATGTTTAAGGGTATAAAATAGATGAGTGCTCCTTAATAAAGCATCCTAAGTTGAAAGTCAACAAACTATATTTTTTTTCAAAAAAAAAAAAACAACAAAATATGTTTTGAAAAAAATGTCTCGTTGATGTTTGAGTAATCTACTGGATTACCACCAGAGTAATATACCATATTAATTTTTGAAATCAATACATATCACCAATCGTCAATTAGCTAAGAGTAATCTAGTAAATTGTTATCCGGAATTCACAAAATTTACTGACTAAATCAATAAAAAAAACAACAAATTTCTGATGGATCACCGGTCACTGGCCAGAATTGGTGGTCATTGACAGGGAAGAACAAATTAAATCTCAGAGCACATAGTGAAATATATATATATATATATATATTTCTGGTCAGTCAATCATTAAAAAATTGTTAAATTTTAGAAATTTTTTTGTCAATTTTAGTGTTATGGATCAAACTATCCAAAAATAATAATATTCTAAAATAAAAAATTTAGAGACTAAACTGAGAAAATACTCCTCGTTTAGGAGTTAATAATGTTAATAACCCTCATTTTTTCCATCGAGTAACATGATAGTGAATTAATTTTAATTTGATGGCCCTTTTTTAAAAAGAAATTATTTATTAATTCGAAAATATACCATTTTAACTTTACATGAATTGTGTTCAGAAGTATACCGCTTTTTGGGCCCACATTTGTTTCCTTCTTTCTTTTTTATTTTTTCATTTCTTTAATTTCCTCTTTTGCTGAGGTCTGTAGTTACTGTACTACCTTTAGCTTAGCTTGGTTAGTACATGAGAATAAAGATGATTATGAGGTACTTCTAAAGCTAAAGTTATTGATAATTAACACCACTTTTTCTTTACTTTGACCCAACTTTTGCTGATCTTTATCATCTTCAAAGTCAAACAGCAAGTTCCAGTGCATTGAATATGGAAGAGAAGAGAAGCTCAGACACGTATTGATCATGATGTTTGTTCCAATAATTTTTAATTTTAAATTATAATTTTTAATTCTTTATAATATTTTTTTTATAAAAAATATAAATTTTAAAAATTAAAATCATAAATTATAATTTTAAATTCATTAACTAAATGTTTGTCCACTAATTCATATCAAATTATGTACCGTTTACAGGATATTTACTTTTTGCTTTCAAAAAGAGAAGTAAAAACTTTGATTTTTCACTTTGATAGGTCAAAATGATTTTAAATTTTTTTGATGAGTAATAAAAATTGTTAAAATAAAGTTTTATAATGTGTAACTGAAACAGATATATAAGTATTTGTATCAAAATCTAATTCATAAGAGCAGTTTTTATAAAGATAAAATGTCTCTTTATGACAGATCATTATTGGTTGTGTCCTTTATTATATATATTTTGTGACATCATCTAATTTTGAAAATTTAATCTTATTCTAAATATTAAATTATTAAATAATTAAATGAGTTGTCAAAATATGAATCATGGTACTGTTTTATTTCACAAAAATATTAAATTTATATTTAAACTTTCCGATTTAAACCTATAAACTAAACCGCGTGCTAAGTGTTTATTATCATGCACATCTGCAGCGTGTATGTAATATTCGGGTTTCGAATGCGACATTACGCCGTATTCTCATGCATACATTAACCGATATTTCGTTTTTGCATTTTCTTTTTGAATGCTAACCATACAAACGTGTACGTATCTGCAATGTGAGAATGAGCAAATAAAAGTTAATTACTCGTTAGAGAAGGTATTATGTCTACTATATATATATATATACACATATGGATTAGGTTATATTAATTGCGGTTAATTAACAAACTGGAAAACCGGTGTATGTGTTTATATAATGTCAGATTTTTTTTTCTTGATCCTTTTCTTGTGTTTATGCCCTAAACGAACTTGGTTTTTGCTATTAATTAGTGTCACGCCCTCCAAACGGGGCGGGTGACGTAGAGCTTGATTAGAGATTAATAAAACAGATTTCCAACCGGGCTCCACATTTAACTGCATTAAAATATAAATATTTTACTACAGAATCCCGGAGCCTCTGACACACATGGCTCTACCCCACACCACAGGACATACAGTATCGTACATACATGTTCATGTAAATAATCATTACAACATACATCAACCACAGTCTAGTAAATCTAAATATTACATAAGAAATCATTCATTAACATTTTGAAATCGTTAATACGACCCCACGAACTACTCAAGCTGTGGGCCCCATGACTGGACAAGCCATGAGGTTCCATGACTAAACAAGCCATGGTTTTCAAAGCATTTTCTTTCACAAATCAATCCCTTTCTTTAAAACATTTTCAAGACCAAAATCCTTTTTGAAAACAGGCTCACAAGGAAAAGGGATAGAAATCCTACCTCGTACTATCAAACCTGGGACTAGCGTCGCCTTTTCCGGCTTCCGCTTCCTCAAGTCCCTTCAGTCTGAATCCTCAGCGATCACTGATGCAAGACAACACTTTAGGATTAATTCTCATTCCTAAAGCAATCCAAATCTCAATTTCCAACCAAGATTTCCTATTAGTGTGCCCTAATCCATTTTCATGTTTCAAATTATCATTCCAAGGGTTTACAATCCCAAATCAAGGATTAAATATGCTAATCCAGTCATCTCAAGTCCCCAAATAAAGCTAATTTAGGTTATCCCCAAAAACATGGGTCAAAACAGCAATTTCAGGCCAAACAGGGTCAAACCCCGTGTCAACCGGTCGACCGGTGACAGAGCAGTACAACACTACCGGTCGACCGGTAGTGTGCACACCGGTCGACCGGTCAGCCTGCAATTCGGTCGACCGCATAGGTCGACCGGTTTCCATGTGATCCGGTTGACCGCACAGGTCGATCGGTGGAATCAGCTGCGCGAGAGAAGCTCGCGGAAATCAGTCCAAAACCTGTAAATCTAGTCCCAAATCGAGATATTTCAAAGGAAAACCACTAGATCTGGGTTCCATGTCCTAAAACAAGTCCAAAGAACCCAAGATCTCCAATTTCTACTCTAGTTTTACTCAAAAACCATCAAAATCCGGTTTGAACCAAAAATAAGTTTTGAAATTCAAAAACTCGAGATTCAAGAGAGGTTCTTTCAGTAATCTTACCTCGAATCCTTCTCTTGACGTTGAAAACTTCTTTAAATCTTTTATTGGTTCAAGATCCGTTTGATTTGGAACACAAATGAGAGAGAGAGAATGAGAGAGAGAGCACGGGAGTGAAGAGAGAGAGAGGGAGTGAATGCACGGGAAGGAAAGAAAAGAAAGAAAAGAAAAGAAAAGAAAAGAAAAAGAAAGAAAAGAAAAGGAAAAAAAAAAGGGACAAGTGTCACATTTCAAAATAACAGTTTAGAAATGTGCCTATACACACTTTTAAAAAAATATAAATACTGAGGGTATTTAAATATCTTAGAATTATTCAAACTCACACGTGTCAGAAATATTTATTAATTAAACTCAATTAATAATCTAAATTAGACACACTAATAATCTCAATTATCTTAATTAACCTCAATTAATTCTTCAGTATTACAATTAGTCCGGCCGTTTCACTCTCGGAGTTGTTGTTGTTTTTTTTTTTTTTTTTTTTTTTTTTATAACAGAAGTTGATCTATTTTTTAAGCGAACATATAGTTCTTAGATTTGAATCGCTCTAAATATCCATGCACAATAAATCATACATAACAACATACAGTGTAATATATTTAATATACGCACTTTATTCAAGACATACATGTCTGTAATGTACGCGTATATATGAGTACAACAGCTGTTACCTAAACCGTAAACGTGGAAAAGTAGTAACTGATGCTATATATACGTATTGTACAACACGCATATGATTCTTAACATGGCAAAATATATTATGATCAGATCTCATATATATATTCGGCCATGACCAGAAACCCATCTAAGGATCTCTATAAGTATTTAAATTACTTGATCTACCATCTCCATTAAAGGAAAATGGTCAGAATCAGATGTTAATGACCCCTTAGGACAAAACACAACCCTGTAATTAGTCCCACCAGGGCAGGTGAACGTGCTTGTAGGATCATCTTGTGGATAACTGTAAGCATCAGGACACCTTTGCTTGAAGAACTTCGAGAAAGTGGTGGGCCCACAGGTACCATATCCATTTGTGCAACAATATTCATTGGTCTTGAAAACCGTGCAGGGGTTTTGACATCCACCCGGGGTCCTCAGTTCATTAGGACACTGACCGTTGATGTCTGCGGTGCACCGAATCGCCTTGCACCCGCCACTAGTAGGGCTAAAGTCCATAGGAATGTTGAATCCATCAACTAGGGAGATGTCAATGAAATCAAGGTTGTTGTACTGGTTGAGGGCGTATTCGGCCAAGGTGTTTGGAGGGGTTCCCCAGCCTTGGCACTGCAGGAGGCCGCAGTCCCCGGTCTGGCAGCGGCCGCGGCCTGCAGCGTCAAAGTTGCAGTTGGTTCGGCCCCATATGCGGGCCATGGATGTGCCTGCGGGGACGTTGAGAGTCCAGGTTTGGCCTCTGTCAAGGCGGCGGCCCCCACCTGGGCTGGCGGGCGCCCCGACCGGGGAAGAGCATTCGTTACGGATTGTGAAGGTGGCTGCATTGGAAGTGAAAAAAAAGTGGGTGAGAAAGATGAGGAAGAGCATTGAGAGGTTGGCTAAGGAGCCCATTATTTCCTTTTTCTTGTTTGTTGCTTTTATTTTGGGCCTCTAATTATCTAGCAGATGAACGTGGAAGTTTATAAAGAAGCAGGAAAAGCTCTTGGATTTATGTATATAATGACAATATGGGTGCTTTTCTTTTTCAGGCTTTTTTTATTGATTAATCGTGTCAATTGATCATAGAGGCGGCTTTTTTTATTGATTAATCGTGTCAATTGATTATTGATTAATCCAGTGAATCGTGTCAATTCTTTTTCAAGATTTATTTAGTTTATTTAATTTATTGATTTAAATTTTTAATTTAAATTGTGATGTAATTTTATGTAAATTTTTTTAAAAAATAATTAAAAAATTAAATATAATTATTTTTAAAAAAATTTTATCCTAATAAAATTTAAATTTTAAGTTTGAATTAATAAAGTGAAGGAGACCTTAGATAAATCAGCGCTAATTATGTAAATAAAATAAAAAAAGAAAGTTCATGAGTGTCAGGACCACGTTAAAAAGAAGAAAAAAATAGTGTAGTTTAGAGAAGCATTGCTAAACAGCCACGCAACTCGAGTGAACGTGCGGCAGACCCGCATGAGTCGGGTTTAAAGTTATCTGCAAATAAAAAATGCGAAAAGCACCATTAATGTTATACATTATAATTAATAGAAAATAAGTCCCATTTATGATTTATGAGTTTTATATAGTTTCACTTTTTATTATTATGTTGTGATAAATAGGTTGGCAGCTCTAGGATTACTTTAAGAAATAAGTGAAGAATTTAAGACGATGTATTATAAAAAGTAAGGTAATTTTGATAAATATCTTTTAAAATAGTATCATTAAGAATTTTTAGATCTTATTAATAGCTTATTGAATTGTACTTTTTTAGAGTAAGTAATTTGTTAGATTATTATTGATAATTTAACAAATATCATTGACAGCGGGTCTTCAGTTGCCGATAGTGCGTATAATTTAACATATTATTATCTAAAATTTAATAAATTATTATCTATAATTTATTATTATCAAAGTTGTAGCATATTATCACAATAAAAAAATAAAACTCTAAAAAGATGTGTTTAAGAGTCAATTTTTATAATTTTCTCTAAAAAGTATGAAAGCAATTGTGATCAGTTTATACAAACTTTTAGTTCACACCAAAATAAATTTTCTATATATGGATAAGCTTAATTCCCGTGAAGAAAATCAAAAAATATATAAATAGGAAAGTTAAAAAGGAGTTATCTTTAAAAATTATTTAAGTCTCGTTTATTTTATTAATTTAAATTTTATTATAATAAAATTTTTTTTAAAATAATTATATTTAATTTTTTATTACAGTAAAAAATTATCACATAAAATTATATCTTAATTCGTATTAAAAATCTGAAGCAACACACTAAATGAGTACTTATTTAATAATTGATGTTTAAAATAAAAGCGCATGACAAAAGAGGGGCCCACTACACACACTAAAAAAACAACAAACAGCTAAATTAGGAAAAGAGATATGCTCAGAAGATCCGCTCTATCATGGTGGCGGCTTTTGGTTAGTATATTGAACATAATTATTGCAAGTGTAGAATTTTTTAGTAAAGAGGGAACAGAGGCGGCTAATTTAGTACAGGATTTAAATTTTTAATTTGAATTAAGATATAATTTTATATTATAATTTTATATTATGATAAAAAAATAAACTGCCAAGGCAATAATGTGTGGGTGGGTTCAATGTAAAGGATCTTTTTATAGTATTCTTTATAACTCACAATTCTAAACTTTAAATTTAGTTAAAATCACACAAAAATAGTATATCCGCGTAATTAACAAAATTTGATATATATATTTATATATATAAATCTTTAACAATTGAAAAATAAAACTCTATCAATACATATTTTAACATTTTTAATACTTTTTTTTAATATTTGGGATTCTTATCATGTATATAAATCATATATTGTTCTTTCTTCTCCTTGCACTATTTACTTTTTTTATAATTAGTTTTAAAAAGGGTATACAAGGTATAACGGAAAAAAAAAGGCTTTTATTTTCTCTTACACTCCATGGCCCTGCATGCTCAGGTAATAAGTGTCCGAGCTTTTAGCTGATCATGTTTTTTCTTATCGTTTGGAGGAGTTATATATAATATTAATGTATGTATTATCTATGAGCTGGTTTTTGATGATTTAACTATTCATCCCATGTGTCAAGTTAATGAAATTCCGATGCTTCGAAAAACGAGCAAAAGGTTGGTGCAAGGCGGCTAGCTAATAAAGAAATACTAGACAATAAGATGGATTATTATTATTATTGATGTCTTTTAAATTTTAAAAATTCTCACTTTATTTATTAAATTTTAAATTATTTTTATTTAACTATTTTTGTTAAAAATAAATTAAAAAAAGTATTACAATTATGTGGTCTTTTTATTTAAATTTTTATTAAAAATAAAGAGTAAAAACTACATGATCACACTAAAACTCTTATTTTTCCATAATTTCAAAAGAAATTCTTATAAAGGTTTAAATGAGATAAATTTAAAATTTAAGAATTCTCAGAGTTCAAAAAATAAAGTGAAAAGATCTTAAAATAAAAATGCAGTAGTGAGATTAATCCTAATAAGATTGAATTACGGGTATTGGAGAAAGTTAGAAGCACCCCAGCAGTACTATTTAGTCTGCCACGGACATGAAGGCCTGAAATTAAATTTATCAGGTACATCTCTCCTAATCAACAAGGCTAACTATCTTTACTAGTCATAATTGGATAAAATGATTATTTGTTAGGCTTAGATCGATGTGATAATACGTATGGCGTCACTTCGCATGAAAGTTGAAAAATAATGATGAGTGATTTCCTATCCTATCCAGTATTAGGCCCGTTCACTTTACTAATTTAAATTGAGATGCGATTTTATGTGAGAATTTTTTATTATAATAAAAAAATTAAATATAATTATTTATAAGAATTTTTTACTGTAAAAAAATTTAAATTCTAAACTCAAATATATAAAATGAACAGCCATATGTTTTTACTTGATTTCAAAATCAATAAAGAGAACCCCACTAGTATTAGAGAACCAAGGTAGCTAGGAAATAACTATGATTACACTCCCTCCCTTGATATTATCGCGTTTTAAAGTTATATTGTCAAAATTTATTTGTATAATTTTAGGGTCCGTTTAATTTGTCGATTTAAATTTTTTATTTGAGTTGAGATGTAAATTTATGTGAAAATTTTTTATTATAATAAAAAAATTAGATCTGACTGTTTTTAAAATTTTTTTACTGTAACAAAACTCGAATTGATGAAATGAATAGCGACTCAGTATCAATAATTATTTAATTATATGAATGGACACGTGGTCCGGCCAGGACACATTTGCTTAAAGAACCTCAAACTGGAAAAACCATCGCGTGTGTCCTATATAATATGTCCTTGTGTCTATACCCTAAGTACTGAACGTGGTTTTTTCTATTAATTAGTCTATTTTACTCTGTAAATGTTGAATTTTTTTTTTAAGCTACTTTTTAAGCAAGCATATCCTTCTTAGATTTGAATCGCTCAAAAAAATCCATGCACACGAAATCATACACAATAACATACATAATGTGATATATTTAACACTAATTTTAGAGTAGTTTAATTCGTCGATTTAAATTTTTTATTTGAGTTGAGATGTAAATTTATGTAAAATTTTATTATTATAATAAAAAAATTAGATACGATTATTTTTAAAATTTTTTTACTGTAACAAAACTCGAATTGATGAAATGAATAGAGACTCAGTATCAATAATTATTTAATTATATGAATGGACACGTGGCCCGGCCAGGACACATTTGCTTAAAGAACCTCAAACTGGAAAAACCATCGCGTGTGTGTCCTATATAATGTCCTTCTTGTGTCTATACCCTAAGTACTGAACGTGGTTTTTTCTATTAATTAGTCTATTTTACTCTGTAAATGTTGAATTCTTTTTTTTAAGCTACTTTTTAAGCAAACATATCCTTCTTAGATTTGAATCGCTCAAAAAAATCCATGCACACGAAATCATACACAATAACATACATAATGTGATATATTTAACACACGTACACTTTATTCAAGACATTTCATGCATGTATGTAATGTCTATATATATGTGTACAACAGCAGGTACGTACCATACTCAACGGTACACCCGAGAGTAGTATATGAGGTACGTAATATTGTATGGTACGCATATATATATATATATATAACTACAAACATAGCAAAGAAAGGATTAATATATATGATCAGGTCTCATATATACTCGAGAGAAACCCATCCAAGGATCTCTCCGTTTAATATTTCTACTTACTCCCTCACACCATTTCCGTTAAAGGAAAATAATTAGGAGATGTCAATGACCCCCTAGGGCAAAACACAACCCTGTAATTAGTCCCACCAGGGCAAGTGAACGTGCTTGTAGGATCATCTTGCGGATAACTGTAAGCATCAGGACACCTTTGCTTGAAGAACTTCGAGAAAGTGGTGGGCCCACAGGTACCATATCCATTTGTGCAACAATATTCATTGGTCTTGAAAACCGTGCAGGGGTTTTGACATCCACCTGGGGTCCTCAGTTCATTAGGACACTGACCGTTGATGTCTGCGGTGCACCGAATCGACTTGCACCCGCCACTAGTAGGGCTAAAGTCCATAGGAATGTTGAATCCATCAACTAGGGAGATGTCATAGAAATCGAGGTTGTTGTACTGGTTGAGGGCGTATTCCGCCAAGGTGTTTGGAGGGGTTCCCCAGCCTTGGCACTGCAGGAGGCCGCAGTCCCCGGTCTGGCAGCGGCCGCGGCCTGCAGCGTCAAAGTTGCAGTTGGTTCGGCCCCATATGCGGGCCATGGATGTGCCTGCGGGGACGTTGAGAGTCCAGGTTTGGCCACTGTCAAGGCGGCGGCCCCCACCTGGGCTGGCGGCCGCCCCGACGGGGTAAGAGCATTCGTTACGGATTGTGAAGGTGGCTGCATTGGAAGTGAAAAAAAAGTGGGTGAGAAAGATGAGGAAGAGCATTGAGAGGTTGGCTAAGGAGCCCATGAATATTTCTTTTTCCTTTTTTAGGTCCTTGGGTTTTAGTTTGTGCGAATAGTTGTCTGGGAAATATATGCATGCATGGTAGTTTATAAAGAAGCAGAAAAAGGTCTTGGATTTCTGTATGCAATGACAAGTACATGCCCTTTTTTTTAGGCTTTTTCATTAATTATTAGTTTGTAACGTGTGATCCGTACTTATTGCTGTTTTTGAGACATATAAAGAGTTTATAATTTATCAAATAATGATAAATTTATTTATATAATTATTTAAGAATTTTTAAATTTATATTAAAAAACTATGTGAAAAAATTACCGTTGACACATTAATAAAAAATTATTTTAACTAACAAAAAAATAAAATAAAAACACGTGTGATGAAAATTGCTCTCATAAGTGTAAAGTGAGAAGGATTGTATTTTTAAAAAACACATAAAAATAAAAATTTAAAAGAAATTCAAAAAAAAAAAAGATAGAAAAAGTAAAAAAAAATAATAATAATAAGTGAAGTAGCAGCCTTATAGAAAATGACTTTGGCTCTTTTTTATGTGCTGTCAGATTAATTATATCAATTGATCATAGAGGCGGCTGATTGCCTAATATAAAAAAGCGAAAACTCATTATGTAGATAAAGTGAAAAGTGTGAGGTGAGTGTCAGGTCCACGTTAAAGCCAAAAAAAAAAAAAAAAAAAAAAAATTTATTTTGAAAAAAGATTTTTGTGAAAGTGGGGTGTGGGACTATACAAGTTGGGTTGTTTAGAGTTCATTGAATAAATATCTTAACTCAAATAGTCACATCTTGTATTTGAAAAAATAGAAAAATGCTGAGAAGAAGTATCAATGTTGAACACTACAATTAAAAAAAAAATGGATATTATCTATTGGTCTTATTATATAATGTATTACACCGAAAAATAAGAGAAGAATTGAAGATAATGTATTAAACAAAAGCACAAGAAGTCATGGAGAGCGAGTTTGATCAATCTATAAAAGCGTTTAATAAGGTAGGCTCCGTTCATTTCGCCGATTCGAGTTTAGAATTCGAGTTTTGTTACAGTAAAAAGCTCTCAGAAACAGTCACATCTAACTTTTTTGCTACAGTAAAAAGCTCTCACACAAAATCACATCTCAACTCGAATTACAAACTCGAATCAGCGAAGTGAACGGCCCCTTAGAATTCATATAAAAGTAAAATGTATATATATCTGAATAAACTTCCTGTGAAGAAAATCAAAGAATAAAAATTATGAAAGTGTCATCTTTAAAAATTATTTATCATATAAAATTCCTCATTTGATGATCGATAAAATTCAAAGCAAGTGCACATGCAATGGACGAGAAGGGGACAAAATTGGAGCCCACTACACGCAAGAAAATTAACAATAATCAGCTAAGGGAAAAGAGATATGCTCAGAATCTACTCTATCTTAACAAGGATTTATTGATTTTTATCATATTGTTTTTCAATTTGTCCATCCTTGCCATTACCTGGTCAAAAAGTATACGAAAGTTTATATAAGATAAGGTTATGATATTTTTGAGATAGTATTCAATTAAATATCACATGCCCATCAACAGAAAAGTGTACCAAAAAAATATCTCAAATTAGCAAAAACCATCATCATGATGATCACATCTAGCGCATGCTTGATCCGACCATCTTGATCATATTGGTAGAACTATCAAACGATGAAGTACTCATGTTAGGGCAAACCACTACTCTATAATTAGTCCTACCTAAGGCAAGCAAACATGTTGATGCTGAAGTCGTGGTCCTCGTGGATAACTATGACATTATTCATTTTATTAATTTAAATTTTTAATTTTTAATTTTTATAATTAAAATTTTTTAAAAAATATTATATTTAATTTTTTATATTACAGTTAAAATTTTTTAAAAAATATTAAATTTTAACTCGAATTAAAAAATTTATGACCTTGAAAAATAAGTGGTCCCACATGTCCCGGGTCTATTCGTGCAGCAATGTTCGGGGGTCTTGAAACCGTGCATGGACCTTGACACTCACCTGGGACCCGCAATTTATTGGGACTGTTTCCGAGGATGTTTGCCGTACATCTTATTGCTCGAGTGTTACAACTTGCAGAGTTAATTGGGCTAAAATCCATGGTAATGTTGATTAGCAAAAAACAATAATATATATATATATATATATATATATATATCCATGGGAATGTTGAAGCTATGAATAAGTGACATTTCAATGAAATCCAAGTTCTGCCACTGGTTGAGGGCGAATTCCACTAGTGTGTTGGGAGGCACACCGTAGCCCGTGCACTCAAGGACCCCACCACAATCTCCGGTCTATGATTCTTTTATGTTGCTGAGACATTTTTTCCGTGTTGAAAGATATAATAATTTGTAAAAATTTACATTAAAATTTAAAAACTAAAACGATAAAGTTATAAATTTTAATTTTAATTTGTAAAATTTTAAATTTTATGATGAATTATTCGAGTTTACAAGTTCTAATGTAAATTATCTTAAAATTCAAATTTCATAAATTATCATAATTTTTACAATTTTATCGTTTGAGTTTGTAAATTTTAACGTAAAATTTCACAAATTATCATATCTCTCGGTACGGTGCCGAGAATATTCCTCCTGACAGTGTAAAAGAATCTCCAATCCGATAATAACCGCGACCTTACCAATCAAAGTTGCAATTAGTCCGTGTTTAGATGTGTGCCTCTTTCGTGCTTGGGGCAACGTAGAGGGACCAACTCTGCTTTGAGTCAAGGCGGCGGCCCCCACCAAGGCTAGTCGCCGCCTAGACTTATGTAAGGGCACTGGTTCTGGATGTCGAAGGTGGCGGCATGGGTGGAGGTGAGGAAGAGGGTTAAGAAGAGGAGGGAGGAGATTGAGAAGTTGGGAAAGCAAATGATCATCATTGCAAGTAATGTGGATTACCTAATTGGAAATTTATTGAATGCCACGGATATAGTGCCTAGGCTACATCTACATAGGTGGGAAATGTTACTTTTGATGTATGTAACGACAATTCTTTTTGCATGTGATAATGAAGATGGAGGCGGCTTTTGGTTAATATATTTTGTACATAATCATTCAAGTCTACAGTTTTTTTAGTAATGAAAGAGGCAGGCGGCTAATTTGGCACATAGTAATCTTAATGGAGATTCGTGTTTGTAGTGGGGGAAAAAAAAAGAAAAAATTTCACCGTAATGGAGATTCTTTTTGCATGTATAGGGTCTTTTTATGGGTAGGTATTCTTTGTAATCTATGTTTTTAAACACTATATTTTATTAAAATCACCTCTAAATAAATAAACATATATAAGTAGAATTATTTTTAAGTTAAGTGAAGACTAGCAAGTAAATTGAATTTGAAAGGTTTAAAAGAACAATTTATTAATAATTATATAAATAAGCTTAAACATCAAATTGATTTTTATTGAATGGAGGTATCATGTAATGATATAAATATGTATGATGACGTAGTGATGGATCCAGGTTTTTAAATCAGTGGGAAAGATGAAATTTATGGATCAAAATATTAGGGGAAAAAACAAAGAATAGAAAGAGATTGAGAGATGGTCGTTTCAGCAGGAAAAATAAAAAGAGTTGGAAGAATTTTTTTTTTAAGAGAATGAGGTAAATAACAGATTTATAGTAAATAATTAAAGTAAATAGTAAATTTTAAAACTATTTGAAATAGTTTACCGTGTATATTTTTTTTTGTGACTAGTAAAAAGATTTTTTCTCCACGTAAATTTTTTTATGACAGAAAAAAAGATTTTTTCTAAGTAATAAAGATTTTTCACCACATAAATTATGTTTTACAAGTTGTAAATAAAAAATTTACATAATAAGCTGTTTAAATAATTTTAAAATTTACTATTTATTTGGTTTTTTTTTTTTTTTTTTTTTTTTTTTTTCCTTTCGCTTTGCTATACAAATGAGAAACTCGATCCAATTTCGAAGGTGAGTCCAATCAAAGCCCAAAAGATAGGCTCTCTTGAAACAAGCCCAAGATTTCAAAGACCATACCGGTATAAAATGCTTACATAAGACTTGATATAAGACCCATTAGTGGGGCACGTCCTAAAAATGTTGATATACGACTCGATATGTGTGTGTGTATATATATATATATATAAAGTTTCTTATTCTTCAATAAGGGCACGTGCTCCCACTGGGCATTAGCTGCATAGCATCCAGTTCAATCGAATAATTTCTTGCGGTTAATTTGAAGTCTTTGCCGGGAATTGCCAGTACATTAATATCTTTCCATTATTAAAAGATCATAAATAACTAAATTTGTGCAACGTTGTTGCAAACAAACTATATATATACTTTTCTACTGAAAAAAAAACTATAATATACGTTTTCTGTTTAAAATTCCATTGCAAGATCTTATGAGAATTTGATAGGTCGATCAAATTTATAAGTTCTATATTATAAAAATAAACAATACATATTTTGTTTCTTTTGGAAAACCCAATCCAAATATTAGAGCAAAACAAGCAAAAGCTTAAAAATACTTGGTGCACTATATAAATACGACTCTTTAACTGTTGAAAACTTGAACAGCCAATTCAGAATCTTATATACGTACGACGTATATGTACTCATATTTCCTTTCAATTATATCTTAAGTATTTAAAATTTGGATAATTAGAAGTCTTGAATATATTTTGTAGCTTGTAATGGAAAAGCTTGGTCTTGATCCGTGAGTCAAACTTAAACTATTGCTGACTCCGTAAATTACGGACGGTTTTTAGCACACAGTTTCTACATATACGTCTTAGCATAGAAATTTTGACCGGCTTATTTCCAACTCTTAATATCAGAAATTCATTTGAGCCGCCATAGGTGATCTTGATCCATTTATATCATATTCAATTTTCTTTATCTTCCGTTTGTTTTACCATTCGAATCACAACAAAATCTTTTGCTACATTATTTTTCCTTACAAAAATTTAAATTTAATTATTATTATTATTATTATTATTTTTATTATTATTTTTTTGCGTTTTTCTTACATAACTTCACTTTTTCAACTTAAATTTTCAACTCGAACAAGTGAAACGAACAGAG